GTGATTAAATATAGTAGGTTACGTTACTTTTGAAGACTAGAATCGTATGGTAGTGAAATAATTACTTCCAAATGGGTCCAGCGACTTGTACAGGGTGAATCAGCTTTTTTCGAAATCATTTTTTTTTACCATATTTCGCATCAGACTTCCGTGATTAAATATGGTAGGTTACGTTACTATTGAAGCCTAAAATCGTGTGATAGCGAAATAATTACTTCCAAATGGGTCCAGCGACTTGTACAGGGTGAATTAGCTTTTTTCAAAATCATTTTTTTTACCATATTTCGCATCAGACTTCCGTGATGAAATATGGTAGAATACGTTACTATTGAAGCCTAAAATCGTGTGATAAAGAAATAATTACTTCCAAATGGGTCCAGCGACTTGTACAGGGTGAATCAGCTTTTTTCGAAATCATTTTTTTACCATATTTCGCATCAGACTTCCGTGATGAAATATGGTAGAATACGTTACTATTGAAGCCTAAAATCGTGCGATAGCGAAATAATTACTTCCAAATTGGTCCAGCGACTTGTACAGGGTGAATCAGCTTTTTTCGAAATCATTTTTTTTACGGTATTTTGCATCAGACTTCCGTGATTAAATATGGTAGGTTACGTTACTATTGAAGCCTAGAATCGTATGTTAGCTGAATAATTACTTCCAAATGGGTCCAGCGATTTGTACAGGGTGAATCAGTTTTTTTCAAAATCATATTTCTCACCATATTTCGTATCAGACTTTACGTGACTTTTAAAGCCTTGAAGTAAGTAGATACACCTACATATTTTTGCAACAACCCGCAAGTTTCCACACCACCCTAGAGGTATTACGGGATCAGAGCATTGAGTGCATGAAGGAAGGTGGGATCTATAGTACCACCATCCGAAGCCCCAGCTCTGAAGAAGGCGCGTTACCATTTTTGTGTGGGTGGTTCGCCTGTAGCCCTATCGTCCCGCCTTTTTATTATATTATATATCTATATGTAACTACTAATTATCATTTCGTAAAAAGTAACAGCACATCACGAGGAAGGATCAAGAATATCTCAGCAATGATTTGTAATCCTTTTTCAGCCAACTCCAACATTACTTCATTGTTTATGATGAAATACTGACCAAAGGTTCAAACAGAGATGAATCATGTGACTCATCCCTCCACAGACCTTCGAATGTTTTGCAATGTTCCGCACATTTTGGTTCAATACTAATAGACAGAAATGGATTTACCTAACCTTACCGACAAAGGCAATCTTCCGCAAATTTCCGCAGTCTTCCGCAATGTTATGCATTCTTCCGCAATTTCCCGCAATTTTTCCTTCTGTCCCGCAATATTCAATATTTTTTCACAGCCTTATCCTTACGTCTCAAATAAATGACCAATAATAAAATTAATGTTCCTCAATGCCCCTCAATCTTCCTCATATTCTCACAGCCTTCATATCGATAGAACTTGTTACATATAACATTTGTAGCAAGTCCAAGGTTCCAGAGAACTAATATTAAAATTTACATAAGCAACAAAAAAATACAGAAAACACATGAGAATGTTATTTTGAAATTGAAATGTGTTAGAGGTGAGTATCATCGAGTCATCATTTGAAGTGATAAATTCTTCAATAAAGTAAATACAGTGAGCCAACACATAATTTTTTAAGCATATTTTGAACTGGTTGAATCTTACAAGCTTTCTTATAATGAAGTACACCTCTTACGTCTCAAATAAATGACCAATGAATTTTCCCTAATGTCCCCTGCATGGTATGGTATATGGTAAAAAAAAATGATTTTGAAAAAAGCTAATTCACCCTGTACAAGTCGCTAGACCCATTTGGAAGTAATTATTTCGCTATCACACGATTTTAGGCTTCAATAGTAACGTATCCTACCATATTTCATCACGGAAGTCTGATGCGAAATATGGTAAAAAAAATGATTTTGAAAAAAGCTAATTCACCCTGTACAAGTCGCTGGACCCATTTGGAAGTAATTATTTCACTACCATACAATTCTAGTCTTCAAAAGTAACGTAACCTACTATATTTAATCACGGAAGTCTGATGCGAAATATGGTAAAAAAAATGATTTCGAAAAAAGCTGATTCACCCTGTACAAGTCGCTGGACCCATTTGGAAGTAATTATTTCGCTATCACACGATTTTAGGCTTCAATAGTAACGTATTCTACCATATTTCATCACGGAAGTCTGACGCGAAATATGGTAAAAAAAATGATTTTGAAAAAAGCTAATTCACCCTGTACAAGTCGCTGGACCCATTTGGAAGTGATTATTTCGCTATCACACTATTCTAGGCTTCAATAGTAACGTAACCTACCATATTTAATCACGGAAGTCTGATGCGAAATATGGTAAAAAGAATGATTTCGAAAAAAGCTGATTCACCCTGTACAAGTCGCTGGACCCATTTGGAAGTAATTATTTCACTATCACACGATTTTAGGCTTCAATAGTAACGTATCCTACCATATTTCATCACGGAAGTCTGATGCGAAATATGGTAAAAAAAATGATTTTGAAAAAAGCTAATTCACCCTGTACAAGTCGCTGGACCCATTTGGAAGTAATTATTTCGCTATCACACGATTTTAGGCTCTAATAGTAACGTATCCTACCATATTTCATCACGGAAGTCTGATGCGAAATATGGTAAAAAAATGATTTCGAAAAAAGCTGATTCACCCTGTACAAGTCGCTGGACCCATTTGGAAGTAATTATTTCGCTATCACACGATTTTAGGCTTCAATAGTAACGTATTCTACCATATTTCATCACGGAAGTCTGATGCGAAATATGGTAAAAAAAATGATTTTGAAAAAAGCTAATTCACCCTGTACAAGTCGCTGGACCCATTTGGAAGTGATTATTTCGCTATCACACTATTCTAGGCTTCAATAGTAACGTAACCTACCATATTTAATCACGGAAGTCTGATGCGAAATATGGTAAAAAGAATGATTTCGAAAAAAGCTGATTCACCCTGTACAAGTCGCTGGACCCATTTGGAAGTAATTATTTCGCTATCACACGATTTTAGGCTTCAATAGTAACGTATTCTACCATATTTCATCACGGAAGTCTGATGCGAAATATGGTAAAAAAAATGATTTTGAAAAAAGCTAATTCACCCTGTACAAGTCGCTGGACCCATTTGGAAGTGATTATTTCGCTATCACACTATTCTAGGCTTCAATAGTAACGTAACCTACCATATTTAATCACGGAAGTCTGATGCGAAATATGGTAAAAAGAATGATTTCGAAAAAAGCTGATTCACCCTGTACAAGTCGCTGGACCCATTTGGAAGTAATTATTTCGCTATCACACGATTTTAGGCTTCAATAGTAACGTATCCTACCATATTTCATCACGGAAGTCTGATGCGAAATATGGTAAAAAAAATGATTTTGAAAAAAGCTAATTCACCCTGTACAAGTCGCTGGACCCATTTGGAAGTAATTATTTCGCTATCACACGATTTTAGGCTCCAATAGTAACGTATCCTACCATATTTCATCACGGAAGTCTGATGCGAAATATGGTAAAAAAATGATTTCGAAAAAAGCTGATTCACCCTGTACAAGTCGCTGGACCCATTTGGAAGTAATTATTTCTTTATCACACGATTTTAGGCTTCAATAGTAACGTATTCTACCATATTTCATCACGGAAGTCTGATGGGAAATATGGTAAAAAAAATGATTTTGAGAAAAGCTAATTCACCCTGTACAAGTCGCTGGACCCATTTGGAAGTAATTATTTCGCTATCACACTATTCTAGGCTTCAATAGTAACGTAACCTACCATATTTAATCACGGAAGTCTGATGCGAAATATGGTAAAAAAAATGATTTCGAAAAAAGCTGATTCACCCTGTACAAGTCGCTGGACCCATTTGGAAGTAATTATTTCGCTATCACACGATTTTAGGCTTCAATAGTAACGTATCCTACCATATTTCATCACGGAAGTCTGATGCGAAATATGGTAAAAAAAAATGATTTCGAAAAAAGCTGATTCACCCTGTACAAGTCGCTGGACCCATTTGGAAGTAATTATTTCACTACCATACGATTCTAGTCTTCAAAAGTAACGTAACCTACTATATTTAATCACGGAAGTCTGATGCGAAATATGGTAAAAAAAATGATTTCGAAAAAAGCTGATTCACCCTGTACAAGTCGCTGGACCCATTTGGAAGTAATTATTTCGCTATCACACGATTTTAGTCTTCAAAAGTAACGTAACCTACTATATTTAATCACGGAAGTCTGATGCGAAATATGGTAAAAAAATGATTTTGAAAAAAGCTGATTCACCCTGTACAAGTCGCTGGACCCATTTGGAAGTGATTATTTCGCTATCACACTATTCTAGGCTTCAATAGTAACGTAACCTACTATATTTAATCACGGAAGTCTGATGCGAAATATGGTAAAAAAAATGATTTCGAAAAAAGCTGATTCACCCTGTACAAGTCGCTGGACCCATTTGGAAGTAATTATTTCGCTATCGCACGATTCTAGGCTTCAACAGTAAAGGACCCTACTAAGTATTATTATAAAAGTCTGATGGGAAGTATGAAAAAAAAGTATGTTGTAATTGATGCAATTTCTATTAAAGTAGAAGTAGAAAGTAATTGAATCATGAAAGAATGGCCGCCCGCCACTGGTATAGTCTGTCGGGTAAGTTCGGAAATTTTAGCAGCCAGCTTTGGCAGCCAAAATCACATTGGTACAATGACTTATGATATGACATATGAATTTGACAGAAGTGGAATTGACGAATGACGGGCATTGTTGTTTTTTTAAATGTTGTTTATTTTTATTTTTAATTTGATCGAATTTCACAGTTTCATGTTTCATTGTTAATCATGTATTTTTCTTCTAAACCAAATTAATTATTCATTTCGCTATTCGACATGACGCTTCGTCAACAAATTTCAGATATAAGTTGAGGCCCATGTGAACAATCCTAACTAATGGCAGCTTCTGCTAGTGAAATTGAGGATTTCCTATCAGGACCTCTTGTGAAATGGGTAAGCTCTCACATCAATTAAAAGGATAATCAATAATTTTATATATTATTATATATAATATTTATTCATCTATTCTATGTCTCCAGCTCTCCACTTGCATAAAGAAACCTGAAACTTTACAAGTGTATGAAACCTTCTTTGATGGTGGCCCCATCAACGAAGTACTACTTCTCATCGATCCTGAACCGTCTCAACCAGTGCCTTCAATAACAAACTTACAGGGTCTCAACATAACCACTGCTAGAGCCAAGATATTCCACTGTATAGTGAGAAATATCAAAACTGTTTATGAAGATGAACTTGGGCAAGTTGTAGTCTCTATTCCAGATTGTGTGGTTCTGGGTAGGACCCCAGCTTCACAGGCAGCTCTGGGGCAATTAAGATTATTGATTTTATTGTTACTGGGCTGTGCTGTACAGGGGCCCACTAAAGAAGTGTTTATAGGGAAAATTAAAGAGTTGTCAGTAGATGATCAACATGACATTGTAGAATGCATAAAAAGAGTGAGTGGCAAATGTTATTTTTTGTTTTCACACATTCACCTCCACTTGAAATAATTGTGTTGTAGGTAACTGATGATCAGAGTATAGTTTTGACTCTAGATTGGCCTGATCAACCCTCTCAGCGTTTGTACTCACATATTAGAACATTGACTAGGGAAAGAGACAAACTGGTGCAACAATGGGTGACAGATTTGGGACAGGAAGCACCTATATCAGAATCTGCCCCCAAATTTGGGACTCATGGGGTGGAATCAAATCATTTGGCTGTGGAACTGGCAGACTGGAAGGCAAGGATGAGAAGACAAAGACAGGAGTTGTAAGTTTTCAATGCTAATATTCTTCATTGTGCTGATTTTTTTCTTTAGTGCTATTCCTATTGAAGTTTCATTTTTTGGTGAACAATGCACAATTATGAAAGAAAGAAAGAAATAAGTTCATATTTAATGGAAGTCAAGGTATGTTTAAAGGCCATATATTGTAGTCTGTTGCAGTTTTAGTGATGGATTTATCTTGTCCAATGATTTACTCTCATCTATTTCACCCCAATCAATGAAAAATATTATTTTCAATTGGAAAAAAATCATTGCTGTGAATTTTTTGTCTGAAGACAGATGTATGTACCATGGAATGAATTCAGATTTTGTCACTTCCATTTTACCCCTATTTCACATGAAAAATGTATGGAAAAAGCAAGAAATTTTGTCATTCTGATATGAATAAAAATACTTTGCTGCTGATTTTCTTCAAAAAAATACAGAAGACATAATATATAATTAATATGTAGTGGCTCCTGATTTTGTTGCATATAATTTACCCCTATGTCACCCCATAAATCTGATAAAATCAGAAAGTTTTCATTTTTAATAGGAAAAAATATACATGAGGTTAATTAATTGTATGTTACAAACGAGGTTACAAAGTTGAAAGTTATCAAGAATTAATTCATTCCATGGCATATCTTCTATAATTTCTGCCAAAATACAAATTTTCTATTATTCAGAATAACAAATTTCTTATTGTTTTCCCAGTTTTTGGGGGGTGAAAAGTGAAATTGAATGTGACATGATGAATCCATGTTATAGTATAATTGGTATTAGTAGATTGCAGATTTTTATTCAATTTTTGTGGTGAAAAGGTGGTGAATCATATGTGTCAGAATCATAATATACAATGAATTTACATTATGGTGAACCTTTCTTAGTTTTCATGAAAAAATCTATAGTGTAATAATTTTTTCTTATTCAAAATGACAGATCTTTGAATTTTGGGGAGAAAAAGGAGTAAATTGAATGCAACAAAATCAGGAGACACTATGAATCCATTACTTGGTATATCTTTAGTATTTTTGGACAAGTAAAATTCAGTGAAAGTTCTATTTTTCAAATTATAAATGACAGATTTTCAGATTTTTTCATAGATTTTCAAGATGAAATAGATGCGGCAAAATCAAAAGACTAATGGGGGCTAATGGGTTAATAAAAATTCACACCAATATATTTCTCCTAATTATATTGACAAATTCCCCATTATTCATCAATTTTTTGAAGTGAAAAAGGGGTTAAATGGATTAGACAAAATCAGAAGATATTATGAATTCATTCTATTATACAGGGTGGGCCACCAGTAACGCCTCGGTCTCTAGAAGGCTAAGCACTCATCTTCTTGGAATTCTTCCTCTCTAGGAAGTTGCATGTCAACATAGGCTACCATTTAAAATTATTTCGAAACATACAGGGTGTCCCCAAAAACCATAAAACACTGAAGTTAATTTTTTTTCTATGGAACACCCTATATATTATTTCATTTTGAGATTCTCCCTAATGAGCTGATTTCAACGACCCATCATACTTGTGGTCTAGTTATAATTACTGAAATATAGGGTGTGAAAAATCGAGATTTTCCAAGTTCAAGAATTTTTTGTGTGGAAACTATTCATAATTGGTCAAAACGGCTTACATGTCCCTATCTCAACTTTTGATTAACTATCTACTGATATTTAATTGGGACATATACCGGGTGATCAAGATTCTGAATTCTGCACCACCCTGTATTTGTTTCAATTAAATGTCAGTAGATAGTTGATCAAAAGTTGAAATAGGGACATGTGAGCCGTTTTGACTAATTATGAATGGTTTAGACACAAAAAATTCTTGAACTTGGAAAATCTCGATTTCTCACACCCTATATCTCAGTAATTATAACTGCTAGACCCCAAGTATGATGGATTGTTGAAATAAGCTCACCAGGGAGAATCTCAAAATGAAATAATATATAGGGTGTTCGATTGAAAAAAGTTCAACTTCAGTGTTTTGTGAATTTTGGGGACATCCTGTATGTTTCAAAATAATTTCAAATGGTAGCCTATGTTGACATGCAACTTCCTAGAGAGGAAGAATTCCAAGAAGATAAGTGGTTAGTCTTCTAGAGACCGAGGCGTTACTGGTGGCCCACCCTGTATATTTTGACAAAAAATCAACAGCAAGATAATATTTTCCTAATAAAAAAGGACAGATCTCTGAATATTATAGATTTCTGTGGTGAAAAAGGAGTTCATTTAGTGAATACATCTTTGATATTTTTTTACAAGAAAAATTCAGGGCAATATATTTTTTCAACTCAAAATGACAGATTTACAGTTTTTTTTTTATTTTGGGATAAAAAAATGGCTAAAATGGTAAATATTCTGTATTTTTTTACAAGAAAAATTCAAATCAAGAAATGTTGAAATTTTTTTCCTATGAATAATTACAGATTTTCTGTATTGACGATTTGCAGGGTAAAGATGAGGTGAATTAGATGTGACAAAATCATGAGACATGATGAATTTATTATTACACCTGCAATATGTTCCTTGGTCCACAAGTTATTTCTCAATAGCCTGCTTTACGTGAACTTTTGTCTTGCTGGCCTCATACTGATATGGAAGTCTGAGTATAAAAATAATAAGATTTAAAAAACTAAAGTTTCAATCATCAACTGTAATGTATAAATTCTATAAATAAAATCATATGTAAAATAGTCAATAAACATCAGTAGGAAAATTAAGAAGGTGAATAATAGTTATGAGCAAAAATACACTTTTTATAGAAGAATGTTTTGTGGACATTAGTGCAGGCAACTATCAGAATCTTATCTTTGAAAGCATTTCCACATGAATTTGTACCCTAGCTTTATGATTACATATTTTTAGAGAAGAAATAACCTTTCATGTTGATTTTACATGAATTTTTAGAATACCTCTTCTATTGCTTTGCACAGACCCTTCAATATAACTGTTTGAAGATAATTTCGTATCCAAAATGATGAAAATGGCTCCAGAGCTTTGAAAAAAATTAATACTACTACTCTTTCCACCAATACTTCTGATTTGTTATAATTTCAAAATATAGTCTGAATAAAAATTGGAACCTATCAGCAGATGATGTAAAATAACATTTTCAGTGGCAACTACACATTATCAAACTAGAGACTTAGTCAGTCGTTGCTTTTGAATATAAACGCTCATACACGTGTCATAAACAGTCATGAGTTTCAAGTCATAAGAAAAGTTGGCCAACATTCATTTCTTATGGCTTAAAACTTATGACTATTTTGCTTTGCGCATGTGACGTACGCTACCATTTTCAATCTTGGTTTTGTTTACATTTGTTGCAATCATTAATAATGAAAAAAATCAATCCTGTGTTACTTCAAACATGTATAATACTGATGAACAATGCAAAATGAGCTAATGAAGGGGTGATGCTTTTCATATGACATTACAGTCCTTTTTTCCCTTATGACTTGAAAGTCAAGACATACAGGGTCGCTGATATGTATGGAAACAGGTGAATATCTTGGTAACCTGTTGTTGGATTTTTTTGAATTTATATACTGTGAAAATGTTATAGCCAATTTTGCCTGTAATTCCCCGATTCTCCTTGAAGAGCTGATTCCATCAAACTATCACACTTGGGGTGTAGCGAGAACTGGCGGGGTTGATTACATAGGTATAGGGTGTTTATAATCTAGATTTTTTAACTTTAGGATTTTTTGTGTCCAAACTATTCATTATATTCCTTTGGCAAATACAGGGTGGTTCAAGATTCAGAATTCTGATCACCCTGTTTATCTGTTTCAATTAAATGTCAGTAGATAGTAAATCAAAAGTGAAGATAGGAACATTGGAGTGGTTTTGATCGATAATGAATAGTTTTGACACAAAAAATCCTAAAGTTGAAAAAATCTATATTTGATACACCCTATATCTATGTAATCATTCATGCTAGACCCCAAGTGTGATAGATGGAATCAGCTCTACAAGGAGAATTTGAAAATTCAATAATGTACAGGGTGTTCCATTCAAAATGAGGAAGTTACAAAAAATCCGGAATAACAGAAAAAGTGGCAACATTGGCTATATTATTTTCAAATCCGCCACGTTTTGAAATCACACTGTATATAAATTTAAAAAATCTGACAACAGGTTACCCAGATATTCACCTGTTTCCATAAATATCAGCGACCCTGTATAAAACTGCTGCATAAATCCACCATAAGACCCTTCTCTTAAATTTGATAGGTGACCACTCCTTGCTCCCAATGAATATCAATTCAAAATATTATGAAATAAAAACACATCTTGAATAAAATTTATGAATCATTCTCAACTAATCATTTCAGGGAAGAAAAATCAGAAATTTTAGCAGAATGTAAAGAAGAACTGGAACACTGTAAAACTATGCTGGCCAAACTGAAAACTGAGGTGAGTAATCCTAATTGATAATTGTTTTAAAACAAATCAGCATGGTCTAACAGGTGAGTAGATACACCTGCAAGGCTTTCATAACTTTCTGAGACTGTAGCATAAGCGATATCGGATAGTATTTGACATACATGACTTGAAAATCTGGGAATTTCAATTCTGGGTTTTATCTTATCCTTAATAAAAGTAGCTAAAGGCATGTAGACGATCTTGAACTCATTCAGTGAAACTGATTAGGAAAATATAATATCATAGCATAGAATTGTATGAATAAAAAGACAACTGACTGTGACACAGTGACATATGACTGAAGTATTAGCACAAACATAAAACATCCTCACGACTGAAGTTTGACAGATAAAGCGCCAGTGGCGGCGATCATGGTTTCACAGAAGGACAATCAATAGCTCACACAAGAATAAATAACAATAAGCATAGAACACAGAGGATAAGCTTTTTGGGATAATTTCAACAATCCTAACCTCACAAAGACTCCACTGGCCCCAAATAATCATTTTCAAGCTCCTACTATATTACCATGTTTATATATCGTCGCCTTAGTTAGAAAAGGGCGTAACTTAATCTTCGTAAAATGTGCAGGAGAACAATAAAACAATTCTGTTGGTACTCAACTGTTGTTTGTGAACTGATTTTTCGAAATTTCCGAAACCAAAATACTTGATTAAGTACGGTATCATAAACGGGAATTTATCTCATTTATAAGGAATATAAAAGGAGGAGGGTGATTTTCTAGAGAAACATTTTTGAAAAATGGGAGATACATAGCTTTCCTCAATAAAGAAACAGTAATGAACTCAAACCTTTATTGAAGTTCATTACTTATGATCAGAATTACACAGATTGATTCGATGTAAAATTGTTTCCATTTCACTCATGTGGGACTTCATTATAAAAATGATGATAGTCTTCTAAGAGGCCTGTCTTCAGTATTTGTAGATGATTGTACTTTTCCTTTTTATTTTTTTTTTTCGTTCTGTGAACAGAGGTGGTAGATTTTCGAATTTGCAGATATTGATTTTTTTACTCCTGTCCAATTCACTCATCGACTCGGTGTGTCGTAATTTGTACTTTATATGACCATCCGGTAGATATTTGAGTGCCTTAATATCAGGGACTACAGGATCTCCCACACCTCTACCTAGACGTATGGAATTGTAGAATTTTAGAGAGTCGACCTTTTTGAAAAAAGTGTGTGTGAAAAATATTTCCTTACTTACCGATATTATGTTCTGCAGAAATATTTGATCGAATAGAAAATAATACTGCATTAGAAAAAATATCGAAACCACAGATAAACACTGCTATTTTCAACACAAAGTTCAAGTCATTCAAATTTGCCTCGGATTTTGCCTAAACATGGCGGATTTGTATCGACCAATAGAGAAGATGACATGCCATTGTCGTCAGTGTGTTAAATGCGTCTCTGTAGGATGATCTAGTCCTAAGAGCCATCTAGTGGCAGAAGTGCAAGGTGTGTAATTAGATGGTACAAACAACCATACCTTGCGAGTCGAATATAGATCCCTGGGTCCATATTATTACAGAATTCTGCAGAATATCGCAACAACGGAATGCTCACAGTGGTTCAATGTCCAACCGACAGATGGTGAGGAAACTAAAATCTCAAGACTAAGAGATTTTAGGTACGTACATATCGTGAATGGATTATCAGCTGGTGCAAGACGGTCTGTTTCAGCTTTGCCAAGCCTCTTCAGTTGCACTAGGCCAGCTGACTGAAGTTATTTCCGTTGATTTGCCTGACATTGAACATGTTTGATATGAAATAAATACATTTTTTCAAGAAATTAACTCACCACCAAAAAGTTGCCAAAAGTTTAGGATTTCATTTTCGTCAAAACGACTTTCCCGATTTCGACGTTTCTTTGATTTGAATGACAGGTTATTTCCATCTGAACATTTTTGTGCAAACTGTATTCATATGGAAACCTTTTATTTATGAGACCGCGTTTAGCAATTATAGCGTGATTATTTTCTTTGAATTCATAATACCCTGATGTGAAGTGTAACACTTAGTGATCAAGTTGAATTCGAAAGTACTCTTTAGCCTTCTCTCTTTTAAACATTTATTTTCTTGATTGGCTCCATTATCTTTCCTATTTCTCCAGAGATACAATTTTATAGCATAACATGATTTCATTGAATTCAATTGGCAATTACACTAAAGTAGCAGGCTATGGTTTGGGAAGGCTTTTATTTGACTGGTCGCATGGAACTTGTGATCATAAATGGAAGCCTAACAGCTGAACGGTACATATCGGTGATTTTGGAACTACATAAATAGTGTAAGGATTATTGTTGATGCAAGATGATACCAGGCATCACGTCGCCCGAGTTGTGGGAAAATATCTAGAGGAAGTATGTATCGCTACCATTGCATGGCCAGCTCGGAGCCCGGATTTATATCGGATTGAGAATCTCTGGGACATTCTTGGGACAAGATTACAAGGCGAACGTTACCTGAATACTTAGGAAAATGCACGGCAGATACTGATGATTCAGATTTGGGAAGTCCTGGACCAACATGACATTAGGTCTCTTATTTTATGTATAATAATAATATAAGTCGAACTGCGACAACTTGACGTAAGTACTTGCAAAATGATGCATCCCCATAGGAGTCTGCATCCAAGTTCGTCCGTTCCACAGTTATACATACCTAGAGACCAGGGTGGCCGTGGACTCTTGAGCTTGGAGTAGGAGCTTTTCTCTTTAGGGCAGCACGTCGAGCAGCCGATGAATTGTCTCTGATTTTCGACTCCGAGCGCGAGGCTCAGGACTCAGTTACTGAGCTAGAGCCAGCTCGGAGAAAGACCCGCATCAAAGATGCAGAAGTGAGAAAGCTCCTGCAGCTTCACATGGATAAGCCTATGCATTCGGTCTATTTCAAGGCCATTGAAGACTGGGGCTTATTAAAAGAACTGACTTTTGCTTTTCTCAAGTCAGGCGGGCTTAAATCGGAAACAGAGGTGTTCATGCCATGCATGGCATGCCGGGATGGACTTTATAGGGCATTCCATTCAAACAAAGTGATCCTGACCCTTTAGATTTTGTCCGATGCCCCCTGTATATGCGGCAATAATTTCTTGATACGGACCTTGTTGTGTATACGCTGTTAAATGAAAAACCTCACTTTCAGATTCACCCTGTATATCTATAAAATACTGTTTCTCGAGTGATAGGAAAAATAGTGATTTCAATTCTAACTCGATAGTGTAACTATTACACTCTACAGGACAGGGTATAACAAATTTCATTAAATAACCACGCTGTAAAAGAAGAGGATATGCGAATACAGTTTGCACACCAATGTTCAGAAGGAACTAACCTATCATTCAAAGCAAAAAACGCCAAAATTGGACAAGTATTTTCGACGAAAATGTTTCCTAAACTTTTGACAACTTTTTGGTGGTGCGTTGATTTCTTGGAGGAGTGTATTTATTTATGTATTCACGGAAATATCCATTACAACACTGTACAAGTAGAATCTTAAAACGATAAATATTAATTGCAGTCTTAAAAATATTCCTACGAATGCTCACTAAAAGGACATTAACACTCCTACTTATAAACAGTGGTTCTACAAATAGAAAAATATTATAGAATAGAATAGAACTTTATTTACGGTTATCCATTGCATACATTATAATCACATATATTATTACAAGATGGAATAAAAAATATATAAATATATATCTATGTAAATATTGAACACAACAAATACAAATGAACATATAACAAGAGAATATCTTAAATCAGTATGAATCTGAATCTATCACAGTAATCAAACACAGCTGCTCATAAAGAGATAGGTAATCAATGACTTCTTGAAAAACTGAAATGAATTACTGAAAATGTCATACAATTATTATTGTATTCCCTTGGTACCCTTCAAAGGGGGCTATGCATGCCATAATTTGTGGAATGATGATTAATGTAGAATAGTGCTTTGTTTCTTTGTACTTATCTGAATTTCGGATACAAGTTCGGGGCAGTCAATGATACCATTTAACAATTTATATAAAAAGAGCAAGTCTGTGTTGAACCTATGTTTTTCTAAAGCTCCCAAACCTGTGCTATTCTGAATGTTGTCATAATCATGATTCCAATTTATTCCCAGTCTGAATGCATAATGCCTGAGAAATTTTCTCTGTATTCCTTCAATTGTCCCGATATCGACACTGTAGTAAGGACACCATATCACAGAAGCATATACTTGCTTGATTTCAGCGACGCGAAGTAACGATTCATCTGTTATTTTATAATCAAATGTAAGTGGAGAGTTGGATCTAGAAAATGTTATGCAGAAACACTTGTTGACGTTCAGACACAGTGCATTAAGATCAGCCCAATTACAAAAATTTTCAATGTCATTCTGAAGCTCATTGCAATGATTGATATTTGATATTGTTTTGTAGATTTTTACATCGTCAGCAAATACCAAATATTTTGAATTTTGTAACACTTCATTTAAGTCATTGACAAACAGGCTGAACAGAATTGGACCACAATGGGAACCTTGAGGGACACCAGAAGAGACCTCAATAGCATTTGAAATGAAGTTATTAATTCTAACACATTGAACTCTTATTATACTACACAAAATTATAAAAACTCTTATTATTATGAGAGATCAGTCACATAAAAACGTCTAGTATCACTGAGCCAAGTATTTTTTAGTTCAAGTCTGAAAGTAGATAAGGGTATGCCGAAGTAGTTCAAATCTACATCGTTTGCCTTCCTTGTCATTCTTTTTAGAGGACTGTGGAACCCATGGTTTCTGTAATGATGCTTATTATTATTGTTATCTTCAGAACGTCGACTTGCTGACGGAGGCGCGTCAAGCCAAGGCCTACCGCGACGAGGTGGACTCGATGCGCGAGAAGATCGAACGCGCCGACAGGCTGGAGATTGAGGCTCAGCGATACAGGGAGCGGCTAGCCGACGCTGAGTTCTACAGGTAATACATAGATGTATATAAATTCAAATGGTGTTATCACATCCTATTGAAGGAGTTTCGAAATCTCAAATATGCACACTCGTCTTCAGTGAACATCGCACATGGACGGTGTGTGCTCTCTAAATCACTGCTGCAATATGAGCGCTTACACCGTTCAACCGCGACATGTTTTCTGAAGACGACTGTTCGCGCATAGCTCAGAACGACTACAACAAGTTACTTATTTTTTAAATGGGTACACCAACCGTGTGGAGCCGAGCCGGACAGCTATCAACAATTTCATTGAATTGAAATTTTATAAATTTAAACTCAGCAGGTTTTACAAAATTGAATTAGTAGTAGTTTATTCACATAAGTAAATCGCACGACAAGCTTTTATGATCATATAAATTGTGTATAATGAGGTTATGAGTCAATAGTTAAAATTATAAAGGAACATCTTATTTCATTTTTTTTAAGCGTTTAAATAAAAGCTTTTTATCAAAATGTTTTTCACTTTTGATTTATTATAACTGTTGTTCTGCAAAAAGTGCCATATCACAAATGAATTCCGTATTATTGGATCTCAACACCAACAAAGCTTGTGGCTCCGACGAAATCCCACCGATTGTTCTTAAGAAATGTGCTCCCGAACTAACAACTGTTCTCTGCAAGTTGTTCAACAACTCTTACAAATTGGGGATATTCCCGTCCAATTGGAAAATTGCAGTTGTTGGTACAACCAGTTCCTAAAAAAGGATAAAAGACCCTACCTATCAATTAGAGGCCGATCGCACTGCTATCTATTATTTCAAAGATCATAGAGAAAGCTATCAACATCGAGCTCATGAAATACCTGGAACATTCTGGTATTATCAACGATAGGCAATATGGCTTCCGTCATCAGAGATCAACTGGTGACCTGCTCGCTTACATCTCACATATATGGCAGCAATCTATTGAAAAATATGGTGAAACCTCAGCCATGGCACTTGATATCTACAAAGCATTCGATCGAGTCTGGCACCAAGGACTCCTCGCCAAGCTTCCATCTTATGGCTTGCCTCCCCAGCTATGTTCTCTGCTAGCTAGTTTTCTCTCAAACAGGTCTCTCCATGTAGTGGTCGACGGAGTTTCATCTGACTCTCTTACCATAAATGCTGGTGTTCCGCAAGGATCAATTCTAGCACCAACCCTATTTCTACTTTATATCAACGATTTGTTGGAAGCAACTTCATGTTCAGTACACAACCTCGCGGATGATAGTACCCTCCATACCGCCTTCTCTTCCAGCGCTCCAATACCAGCCAGGCGAATCAGAAACGAACGAACATAAATATAGACTTAGCAACAATTCTCGAATGGGGATCCAATAACTGGTAGATTCGATGCAAAAAAACACAAGCATGCCTTTTCTCTAGAAAAGCCGATCTCACTGTGCCAAATATAAGCATGTCAGGAGTAACCATGACATCCATTTCGATGCTTGGTATTGCTATCAGCAATAACCTTTCTTGGGAAAATCACTTGAGATCAATTTTCTGAAAGTGCATCCCAAAAACTTGGTTTTCTGTTTCGGGCCAAGAGCTATTTCACTTCCAGTCAGCTGCTTATGATCTATAAGGCACAGATCCAACCCATCCTGGAATACTGTTCCCATATTTGGAGTGCAGCACCCAAACATACCCTGAAACTGTTGGATTCTGTCCGAAAAGGGCAATTCGTCTCGTGGGTGATGCCTCGCTCACAACTATATTTTTATAGACGATGCGCTTCTGAAATATCAACAATTGTACCTCCCTTGGCAGCCCCTGCGAGATTAACCCGTCGAGTTGAGGCTTCGCACCACTTCGTGGTCACTTTGGAGACCTGCAGAACATCTCTTCCCAAAGACTCGTTCATTCAGCGAACAGCGAGTCTCTGGAACACATTGCCAAGGGAGGTGTTCCCCGAGGCATATAACCTCCAGAAATTCAAGACGAACGCCAATTCCTACTTTATTTCCCTTGGTTCTCACGATGTTCTCCGAACATTACAGGATATCCCTTTTCGTGGGAACCAGAACATAAAAAAAATATTTTTCATCTACGGCTATGATTGATTTGACAGAGAATGTAACCTCTGAAATCGTATCTGACAATCAGGCGCTATTAGGGAAATTGAAAAGACAAAGAGCAGAATATATGTCTCATTCTTTCACTCAAGCATTGCATTTTAGAAAATAGAGAAGAACAGATGTTCAGCTTGGTCCGAACTCTTATCTACTAAGACCATCCAGTGACTAGTATAGTAACGTCATAGGAATGGTCAAGATTTCTTTTTTCATTCAAATATAAGATTTCATACAATAAAGGTCACAATAGCTCATCCAAGAGACAATCTGTGATATTTGAGCTACGAATAACTATATTTCTGGTCAGTAGTACAAATAATCACATTTTTCTAAAAAAAAAAGAATATCTTTCACGAAAATCTGGAAAGATACGAGAAATTCTGCGAAACCATTTCGAGAAATATGCTTGAGAATTATGGAAATATGATTGAAAAAAATCTCAAAAATGTTCCATTAAATTGGGAGTATGGAGAATTTTTCAATATTTTGCAGTAGTTTGTTTATCACCCTGTACAGCCAGAGGTTACCATGTTTTTCCATCAGCGGTCTATCTGTCATATACCCAATGAATCAATCTTCAGAATAAAGGAAACCGCATCCGAATAAGTGGAATTTCCGCGAAAATATTCAGTGTTGAATTCAGAGCAAAAATGTGCTCGATGCGGTTCGATTGATCAGCAGTTTATTTGTGTTCTATGTCGTAAATACCTTTCGAACCAATAGGCCTTTTCATTTAGATGAAAAATGACTATCTCTGTTTACATCTCGCATCCAACAACAGTGGCGGCCATTTTCACTTACAACCACAGTACCACACTCCTCAGTAACGAATAAGTAACTTTATTTGGAATTAAATCATTATAATACAATTATTACACACCAGGAATATAAAAACAAAAATACTATGTTGTTATTGTTGTTTCTCAATGACGAATGTCCAGGGTGGTTGACACTGTTGACATTTGACAGAACGTCAATAATACCCGCCATAATTCGAAATGGCCAATCAGCATTTTGTGTTGGAACTATAGTCAATGAGTCTTCACCTTCGCATTACCCAACAAATTTTTGGATCTAAAAACGAGCGCATGCGCCTTGAAAATATATCTACATGAAAAGGCCTATTCAATATATTGCCTGTAATTTCATATCTATTGATTGATGGAATGATTGATTGATTATTTAGGGTGCGCGTGGACGAGCTGCGCGAAGACAACAGGGTGCTGCTGGAGACTCGGGAGATGCTAGAGGCGCAGGTAGCTCGGGCAAGGCTGCGCGGCGATCACGTGCTCGAGCTGGAGGCGGAGCTGTTGGCGAGCAAGCAGGCGCTGGCCGAGGTCGTGCTGGTGAGTTGGACTGTGGAAAACGTGGAAATAGTAGTTTACCTAACAAGTGCGGAAAAGTCACTTTACGCACGTGTTAGGTACACTATTTTTTCTACACGCGTGTGGAAAAAAAAACAAGTGTTAACATGAAGAAAAATTTATTATTAAATACATAGTTCGCAAATTAATTATTATTAGTATTAATATTGCAACTTTGTAGCAAAACCTTCTCCTCCTGGTATCGATGTTGTGGATAAATGCGCAGGATGTCTCTGCCTGGCCGTGCCGCACTCGAAATGTTTTTATTTCGAATCCGCAAAAAACACTAAACCCAGAAGTAGTATAGAATATTTATGTCAGAGACTCATTTTTCATATGTCTTAGTTATCGTCAAATAAATATTTTTGGTGCATTTTACTATTGTGGTGCAGTGTAGTGCATTCAACTCTAGTTATACCTGTATTTTCAGGTAAGGTTTCATTTTGGTATCATTCCAGGGTATATATGTTGGTCATAATGATAATCATATTGTTTGATTAGAGTTTTGTTATAATATCACATTTATTGTCATGGCCGGCTCTTGTAGTGATACTCGCGTATTTTCAGTGACGTCCAATTAAAGATTTTGATGAGAAAAGGATAGTTGGTTTTTTTTATCGAAAAACTATTGAAAGAACCACCCTGTATTTTTGAAGAGACCGTACCTTGTCGGTTTCGTAACAACTTGATGCATTCTGCAAATTAATTGCAGGAGCTAAAGTTTTTTCTAATGAAGTAATGTTATGGTTTTCCATTGCTTTGTCAGCAACCGTGGCCATCGGAACTTGGCTGGAAGAGGTCATTTCGGAATGCTTTACTGGTAACAGCTGCTGACTAGTGGACGGGCCAGCGACAGCGTCAATAAAATTCAATATTTTATTCGATAGGCCCTTTTGGAAACTTTCTTAAACTCATATACCTTCTGAACAAATTGAGCAATTTTCCATTTTCAGCTTCCTCAGAAATCGCAAAGCTTCTGGAAGAATGATTTTTTGTGTCTGGGATATTTATCAATATAATATTCCCTTTGTCATCAATATGATCTAAAGACATATTTGTTTCTTCTGGTCTACATGCGCCCGCCAAACCAAAAATCGTAGCTACTTTTATATGAAGATAAATTTCGTCAGGTGCTTCATTTATAAACTGGAATATTTCTTCTTTCAAGAAAATTCCTGCCTTTTTTGGGCTAAATCCAATGTTTTGTTCTTTATATATGCCGTGACCTTGAAAAACTTGCTCAAATCGAGTTTTTTTTTTAGTTTGATAGTTTGATTACACTTTTTAACATTGAGTACCTGGACGAAAGAGTGTTTGGCTTGAATGTTTTGGAAAACCCGAACTCCGATTCACGTCGTTCGTGTCAAAGGCAGTCGCGTGCGGAAAAGAATCGCTTTCCGCACTTGTTTGGAAAATTACTATTTTCTACTACTGCTATGAAAAGTAGCGCATTTCTCTAAGCTTACTTAGTTTCGAAACCATGTATTGCTCATACTGTGAGAAATATTTTTTCTCACGGCACTTTGTCAACACCACACACTTCCATGTGGAATCAACAAAAATCGACCAAAACTCAATTAGCTGGTGTTGAGCTTTGAATAGTTGTCACAACTGTCAGAGGGAGTTTTTTTAATTCTCAAGGGTATTTTTCATTAGTGCTTTTGATAAAAATCGCAGTTTCCATCAAATATTATTCCAACCATTGTCGTTCTAGATGACAACCTAGTTAGGTAGTTAGTAGGCAGGAGCTATAATATTGTCTGTTCATTGAAAAGACAATTGAAGAAAATATGTAGTTCAGAGACATCTACGTGAACTAAGTAAACTAAGTTATTCATATTTTATTCCTAACCCATAACATTTTTCATGGTCCTGTCAAGTTTGTAAATAAAAATCTGTCATGTTGAAACCCGAAAATGAAACATTATCACGAAAGATATTATCAAGTATGAAAACCAACTACCTATACTTGAATGGAAACAGGGAGATGTTTAGGCAATACTGTATCAGGTTGACTTATGATGCAACTTGAATTTAAGTTGGAACTGTGGAAACTTCGGAAACTCATCAATGCTTTTACACTTTTTCGACATGCAAGCCAAGCAGAAAGGTAGGGACTGCTTATTTCCTTCTATATTTTTGATAAGTTACTATATAATTCATGGAATTCCGTTATTTGCAGTGAAAACATGTCTTTAGTGATGTAAACTATGTACACGTCGGAATCACTATACTTGAAAATTTCAGGTACCTACCTACAGCGAAGAGTACCTACATGAATAGCTTTTCAGTTGAAAAACGAAAAACTATGAGTGATACAAACAAATTGATGTGGAAGAATCACGTCAGGAATCATCATGTGAGTAATGTTCAGAAGAAATGTACCAGAAGGATGATGATGTTTGAGAATAGAATGGAAAATTTCCCATCCGAAATGAATATATAGAAGCAATAAGGTTAGACTCAATCTGTTTATTTCATCAATGTCATGGATATTCTGCCCCAAACACAAAATATCAAGATGCTGGGATATTTAGAATTTTTTTATTGGAAAATAACTTGTATATGTACGAATGACAATACAAATATATTTTTTAATAAATTGAATATAATTATGAAGAATTATTGCAATTTTTATTCTACTAATTTGTTTTCCTCTGATACCCTGTTTATTGTTGTACACATGTATTGGCAGGTAAGTTTGAAAACACTATATATATTGTACCAAAGGTATATAGGTTAAATATATGTTTTGCTAAACAATGATTATTTTTTATAAAATCATCTTATCCATACTAACTTCACTAAATATGGGAAGATGTGTCTATAATTGCCACAAATTGAACCATAGGAATATTCAATACCAATATGTATAACTTTTTAATTTATATTATGTAATCATTTTGAATAAACTTCATTATTATTTATTATCATTCTATAATATCTATTCAAATGCCCGTTTCCTCCTCAGATGCATCTTAATCTTCAGGTCGTGTTCCTTAAGGAAGGAGTGCCTCTTCAGCATCATATTCCAAACTACATTGATGAGTCTGAAACTATAAAAATATTTGATATCTATTTTGTCCCCAGTTTCAATTATCTGTACCATTCTGAAATGAATTTAATGACAATTGACTATGGAACAATTTTTAGAGGTATCAAAGTCAAGTTCTTGGTAATTTTTCAATTTTTGTACTGAAACTAATAGTTCCAGTCAACTAGAAACTAATAAGCTGATTGCTACAAAGAGTTTGTATAGGTAGGAACTTGTTGAATATCTTTTTATTTATATATACCTTGCTTTAACAAACTTGGAACCGAACCCTCCTTCCAAAACCGTTTCCAATTCTTCATTGGCAAGAAACAGTTCCCTCAAAATGTTGGAAACATACAGTATCATGTTCGCTCACTTCAAAAACTCCCATTCCTGAAATATCAGTGCATCAAGTTTCAAATATTATGCGATTCACGAAAAAAAATTCACCTTGCAATCCAATGAATATTGATGCCTCAGGATTTGTGGCTCAAATTCACAACAGTGAAGATAGGGGAAACCAGGTCTTAATAATTTTACACCTCTACCTCCTGGAGTGCGAAGTTTTCAGATAACATTGCAAAATAACACAATCGCACTCACAAACCAATCAACAAACTGCAATAGAATACCAATACTAGAAGAAATAATTAGGAATAATTGTGATTTTCAAGAATACGAATTCAAAGTATAACATATTCACAAAGACCAAGTTATAAGTTAATGACAACTGTCAGAAAATAATTTTTTGATTATGACATCTCAATCTCATGAAAGAATCTTCTTCATCGCCTTTGTATCAAATATCACGTCAATGATGGAAAGTACATCTGTGGTTGGGTACATATTGGAAAAAAATAGAAGAAGAGAATATCAACCTAATATGGTCTATTTTGACATGAACAAATGAGCTCTTTCCATTTTCTCATCCCCAGCGCCACTTGACAGACAGACATATTTTGATTGAATGAACAGACATTATTATACCTCCTCGCACTAGGTCGCCTACTAGGTTTTCATTTAGATCGACAATGTTCCAACAATTCATAATAAATAATATGATGTACATATCGAGATGTGACGATTTTGATAAATACACCCTCAGAGACAGAGATAATGGAAAAAGCTGCGAAAATTTGATTTGTTTCCGGAAATTTCAAGAAAAAAGTATGAATTGGCATATAAGAAAAATTAATGGAATCTTAAAAAAATACAGAATTAAAATCTTTTTCGGAAAGTGTACTTTTTTGAAATACTTTGAGGAACTAGGAAAGGCGACTCTTTGGTCACAATATTCAATGTGGCATAGTGCCACATTATAAAATGAATACCAATTAGCTACATTACTCGGATTCTTTGAATAAGTGCAGTTGTAGAAAAATTATAGGGTGCAATATGTGGGGAAAAGGTGAACTTTCCCCACTTGTTGCACAATATACTATTACCTACGGCTACTATTAGCTATGTTTTAGTGCTTATTTTATACAAAATAAAGCTTCATGCAAGAATCAATATTTAATTTCTACTCACATTGATTGCAGAACTGACAGGCCTTGCTTTCATGTCCATTGTCATCATACAGGGTACTACAACATCTCCCCTTTTAAGAATTCGAGATAAAACTAAAAGTGATAATATAACTAAATATTCAAGCGTACTGGAGGGCGCACAGATCTTCCACTACGAGTCGTGATAAGGGATGGAATTCTATTATCAGGACCTCTGGTAGAATCTGCGTTCAAGTTAAGCCGGGGATTATGATTCAAATGTTGATTTTGAACATCTTCGTCGAAGCTGAAGTCATAGTCATTTTCAAATTCATTCTTGGTACGGTTCAAGTGAACTTCGTTGCGTCGTATGGTTCGTCCGTTTTCTTTAACAATAAGATAAGAACGAGGAGAATCATGACGAGCAATAATTTGCGCAGGTTCACAATTATCAGCACGGC